GGATGAAACTTAGGTAAGATAAGTCCAGGATACCTTTAAGCTTTAAACACAGTATTTAGCTTACTCACTGTTTTTTTTTGGAGTAGTTATTTTTTATTAGCATTATCTTCACTATTATTATGCATGTAGCACTATAAAATATAAAAGGTTAGCCTTAGTTTGAGTTTTACTCAAAAAGGGAGGATTGTTGAGGCTTCTAGCAGTAACTTAGTAGAACAGAAGGTCAGAATGTCACGAAAACAACTTGTAGAATAGTCTGGAAAAGGTGACATCATCAGGGGTTCACAATAAGTGTCTATTGGGTGGTGTTATATTTCCACCCATTCTGGGAAAAAGCCCACCCCTTTCCTGACTAAAATAACTTGGTATAAAAGGTTATAGTTTTCTAACTGCGTCAGTTCAGTTTGGAAGGTCTGATCTGTCGGTTGAAGCTTGTTACTGACTGAACTCGATTAAAACTCCCTCTGGCTGGCCAAGATTGTCTCCTCTTTATTTTTATCTTGATAAGTGGACCTTTCTGCCACTACACTTGTACTTTTACTCAAGTATCACTTTGAGGTACTTTATACAACACTGTAAACACATCAGAAGTCTGAACTAAGAACTTAAAATAATAAAGGGAATATTGAATTATATGTCCACAACATATTTTTTGAGTTGTTCCATGGATTAAAAAAAAGGTTTTAAAAGTCGTACAAATAAACAAKACTGTATTTTTAATTAATTAGGTTAATTAGCAACAGATTAGTAAGAGGACTRGGTATAAAAGGAACATTTTAGAGGCTGAATCTCTGAAGTAAAGATGGGCAGAGGTTCACCAGTGTGTCTGAAAATCCTGGAACTGCAGATGGTTTTTAAATGGTACAGTTTCTTAGTTTGAACATTTGAGATGCTCTTAGGTTGTAAAACAGCAAAGTAACACTAGTTTGTTGTAGTTTTTGAACACTAACAAAGCTCCGGCCTTCGTCTCAGAGAAGATGCGGATGAGGAAGTCAGCCTCCTGGTGGGGTTGGAAGGTGGTTGGGACCAGCAGGTATTTCCCGGGGGGCAGGGTGAAACGTTCTGACACTTCCCGCATGTTGATGTAAGTCCTGCTGCGAGCCTTGGAGGGATGGTAMCGGAAGAAATCCTTTCCCACTTGGTCCACTTCATCTGGAGCCTGAGTGAGCGAGAGAGAGGAGGRCAGGACAGAAATTTGAACTTGGTAGCTGCAAAAAGGTTAAAACTGACCAGACGTCAGGSTAAATATCAGCAGGTGGAACTTCTTGTTTTAAAAGTCAAGACATGATTTTACATTTTTTGTGCAAATCTGTCAGGATTCTTGTTTTATGGTTCTTTTAGTTAGTATTTTTCAGACTGTTTTTCATTGTTTGGTTTTGTCTTTTTTTCTTATTTCCTGTTAGTTTCCTGTGCCATGTTACCCTCAGTCAGCTGTGGGGTGCCGTTTGTAAAGTTACACAGTCAAAAATTACCAATATTTTTGTTTTATTTAGCCTTTTAGAAGAAAAAAAGAACATATTTATTTTTCAAAGTCAGTTTTTCACCATATGGTTCATACATTTATAAATGTAATAGTATAATAATAATAGTAATAATATTTAGGTAGCTACCTAAATATTTAAGTTGCAATCTAAATATTTAGCTAGCTACCTAAATATTAACTTAAATATTTAGGTAGCTACCTAAATATTTAGGTAGCTACCCAAATGTTTAAGTTGCAACCTAAGTATTTAGCTCAAAACTAAATATTTAAGTCACAAGTTAAATATTTAGCTTGTTAACTAAATATTTAAGTCACAAGTTAAATATTTAGCTTGTTAACTAAATATTTAAGTCACAAGTTAAATATTTAGCTTGTTAACTAAATATTTAATTTGTAAGTTAAATAT